AGTTTTTTCTCAATTTAAGGATTCATATAATTGTTGAATGTGGATCTAAGTGAGTCCAAAAAATGAATATTTTCTTTTGTTGTGTATACAAAACGAGCCGCTTGAATGAATTTCAGAGATATGCAACCAAATATATGACTAGCAATAACCAAGTTAATAATTGTAGTTTAAGGAATTTTAAATAAACAACTACAATTGAAGTTAGAAAAACTGTATCTTATTTTAGATATTTTGTTATCTCATTTAAACATGTTATTGTATATTTAAGTTTGCATTCCATTTTTTATTAGTTTTTAATTCAATCTTTCATCACCAAATATTGATTTGTATTAATTTTGCATTTTTTCTTGGTTCTAAATCTGAGATGGTTCAAAATTAAGGCGTATCTTGCAAAAATAATAATATGTCATGGTTCATATAATTTTTCTTCTGTCAGCCAGGTGACAGAATTGTTGCAAATCTTTATAAGTGTTCAAATCTATATGGATCTGAGAGTTCTTGTGAGCTTCAATTTGGGAGTTGCTGCCTTTGGTCGAAGGAACATAAAGAGGCAATGAAAGATGCTACAGGAAATAAGTTCCTGTTGCTAGAGCTTATTATCCAAAGATTGCTGAATTTCAGGGACAAGAGAATTTATCAGGTGAAATGAATCAAAACATTCAAGAATAGGAACACATCCTTTGTGAAGTTATTTCAGATGCAGATCTCCCATCATTGTAGGTTGATAGTATGATCTTTTATAGAATTTGATTTTAATTGAATTGGTATATTTTTAATTACATCTCAACAATCTTTGTTTTAAGTTTTGTTTTTAAAATATATTTTTTAGATATTTAGTTATCTCATTTAAGCGTGTTATTTTATGTTTTATTTTGCATTTCATTTTTTGATTAATTTTTAATTCCATCTTTCATCTATATTCATATTTTGTGGGATGTTTAAGTTGTATTTACTTGGTAATCAAAGTTTATTATAAATATTGGAATATATTTTTCACTTTTGCATGCTGGCAGTTTGGCATTTCTCAATCAAATGGAATATGCATCTTATTTATAACTGATACTATAAATGTCAAACAATAGTCAGAAATTTTATAAATGAAACTTCTCCATGTGTACATCTACTTTAAATTAATTGACTATAACTTCAACCAATTGACATATCTTAAATATATTCTGTTTTTTGTAGTATCAATTTTTATACCGAGACTCACACTACATATCCAACATATTATTTAGAGGTAATATTATATCAAAATTTTTTAAAACAGCCGATGCCGGTCCCAAGCCCGGATGAAAAAGGTTGAGGGTTTGTTTTTAATCTGGTGATAATTTCTTTCCAAATTAAGATGGTGGTCCCATGCCTTGAGATGTGTATAAATTAACCATATAAATAAGTGATATAACCAACTATCCTTTTTTTTTTCTCCAACTCCATTACTCTCTACATCATTCTCTACTCTCTTCTCATGGGAAGATCACCTTATTGTGATGATAATGACCTTAAGAATGGCCCTTGGACACTTGAAGAAGATCATAAGTTGGTTCATTACATCCAGAAGCATGGCCATTGCAGTTTGAGAGCTCTTTTTAAGCATGTTGGTATTGTATTCTTCCTCATTTTCTCTTTATAGTATCAATCATTTTGTATGAATTATGAGCATTTATCAAGAAAGTTTGTTATTGCTCACTTGTAGGATTTAATAGATGTGGGAATAGCTGTAGTTTGAGATGGACCAACTACTTGATGTCAGATATTAATAGGGCCAAGTTTTCACCTGAAGATGCACAAACCATCCTCAACTTCCACTCTATTCTTGCCAACAAATAACTAATCTTTTCCACACATAGGCTTTATTTTATTATTTGTAGATATATAGCAAACACAATTAGAACACGATGATTTTTTTTTAATTCATTTTCTATGTAAAATTAAAATGAATACATGTTAGGGATTTCGAATGTGTTTGAATGGTTTAAAATCAATAACGATTTCTAGCTGCATCATCTAAATTGCATAACCTATTAAATTTATAAAATTTTAAGTTTGTTTTTTTTAATTACCTTTTAAGTGAAAGGAATTTGTGATAAGTACAAGTTTTTAGAACTATTATATGGAAGAATGAAAAAAAAAAGTTGATATAAAAAGTTACATGTAATTTTTATAAATACTTGAGTATTAATCATATAGCATATCATAAATTAATTTTAAATTATATTTATATCTTTTTTATTTTTTAAAATTTTATTAACGTGCACCATATGCACGGGCATTTAACTAGTATATATATATATATTCTAAAGCTAATGGGTATAAAAATGACAGGGTTTATTAACCAATTATATATGATTACCTATTACTTATCACTGCTCTTAAGATATACAATTGTATTGATGTTTATTGATCATATAGCATATTGTTTCATTGATCATTTAATACTGTACACATATGTTTATACTGATAGTGATTGAAAGATTATATGCATACTATTTCTATTGTCTTATATTTGTTTCAGTTGTAGGTTCTGATAGCCTACTATGTTGTTAGCTCACTATGTAGTTTTGCTTATTTTCATGAAGGAGTCGAAATCCATGGAGTGAGGCCAAATTTAGGATTTAAGTTTTTTTTTTTTTTTTTATAATTTTATTCTTTTATAGCCAAGAGTTAAAAGATAGACTAGTGAGTATATGGATTGAATTCTTAGCTATTATACATGAAATTTGAGGGATGAATAATTTTATATTTTGATGTATATGTTTTTTAGTTACTTCTAATGGATTAACTTATTTTAATGAATTTATAAAAGCTCGTGTTGATTAATTAAGAGATGAAAATAAATAATTCTATCAAAATTTGATATTGGGACGCTCATCGTATATTTATTTATTTATTTCAAATATTTATTATATATGTTTGAGTTGGGAGAAACATTAAGAGAAGATATTCATTTAAATTTTTGAAGGATTTTATTGGAACATTTAGAAAAAATTTGGAGTAAAATTATATTACCTAATTTGAAGAGATTCATTTAAGTTTGTTTTGATAAAAAGGAAGAGAATAATGGAGGAAGAGATGGAAGGAAATTAATGAATAAATATTAACTAAAATTATATCAGAATAATTATATATCAGTTTATAATGGATATTTATTTAAAATTTAACCAAAATAAGAAATTAATTTCAAAATTTTCTTATCATATTTATAATTAATTTTGAAATTATTAAATATATTTTTAAATAAACATAATAAACTAAATAAATAATTCATTTTCATACAAAATTGTCAGCCAATTTTTCCCAAAAGGAACACCTAAAGTTTAGTAGAAATTTCATAGCGCGGAAGAGGACGGGGTTGTTCCTGCTACTCGAATCTGGGAGCCCTAGAAAGTTTCTGGAGACCGCACCTTGCCGGCGGCGGAGGCCCGAAGAACGCTCGCTTAGCTTGTACCGGCGGTGACAAGGATGAATCCGTTCGACTCTAGATACGCCGATCCATATTCATACAGGGAGAGAAGAAGGTCCAATATTCTCCGCCCTCCTTATACCTTCTTTTCCACAGAACATTTCTGATTTTTTTCTTCTAATTGCTCGTTTATATTCTCTTGACGTCGATTTTAAAATGCAGTGACTTGCTCCAAGCACCGCATTTCACCGCTCCGTCGGTGAACCCTGCCGGTTTTCATGGTACGTTCTACCCTCCTCCCACTCAACCCTTCCCAGCCGGTGGTTCAAATATACCATTGATACCTCCCTATGGTGGCGGCTCTGGACCAGGGGGGGAGAGAGGGGTTGATTCTGTGAGTGGAGGTGGCAGAGGACATGAGGTCGGGGGCCGTGGCAGAGGGCATGAGTTCGGGGGCCGTGGCAGAGGGCATCAGTTTGGGGGCCGTGGTAGAGGGCATGAGGTCGCGGGCCGTGGCAGAGGGCATGAGGTTGGGGGCCGTGGAGGAAGGGGGGTTGAAGTTAGCCGGGGAGTCAGAGCAGGAGGAGGAAGAGGAGGATCAGGAGGAAGAGGAGGATCAGGAGGAAGAGGGGGAGCAGCACGAAGAGGAGGAGGCAGGGATTTTGGTACCAGGGGGCGAGGTGGCGGGTTTGGTGGTCGTGGTTTTAGTAGTGAAAAGAGGGATTTTAGCAAACCTAGGGATGATCTGGACAACATTGTGCTGCCTAAGCAGAACTTTCATGGGCTCATACCGTTTGAGAAAGACTTCTATGTCGAGAGCCCTTCCGTTAAGGCCATGTCGGAGCAGGAGGCGACGCTCTACCGCAGAAGGCGGGATATTACGGTTGAAGGATATGATATCCCTAAGCCCATCAGGTTCTTCCAGGAAGCTAACTTTCCAGGTATGGTTTCTCCCTTTTTAGTTACTATGATTTAGTTGAACTTGAGCCTCAGTATTCTTTGGACAATTCTATGTACACTTTCTTCGGTAATTTTTTTGCTTGCAGCAAGTATCATTTTGCTCAAGGCATAACTCTTAAGCCCCATAAATTTTATATTTTTATTATTCGAAGTAAAAAACTATGATTAAAAAAATTATGTATAAAAGAAATTAATTCCAAAATTCAAAGTTCATAATCACATATTTGTATTATAACTCCAAGATCTAATAACATGAACATTAAACATTGGCCAGAATTTGACAATCAAGTGTATGGTTGAAAGGGATAATAAAAAGTATATAATAAAACATTCAAAATTATAAACAAACTATTATCTGACTAATATCCAAATTCTTTATGTAGTACTTGTGTAGGATGATGGTAGAAAGCTTTTGCTATTTTGTTGGTTGACATGAATGCTTAGATCCTTTATGTGTTATGTTTTATTGGGGGATTTAGGAATGTTTAAAACACATAAAAAGCACCAATAATATTAACTTTTCTTAAGTGAAATGCATTTTTTATGCATTTTTTTTATGTGATTGAGATGCTAAAGCGTAATATGAGTAAATATCATAGATTGGGTGCTAGATATGTTAAAAATTGTGTGGTATGTATGTGAATACCCTTTTTTTAAAATTATTTTTTCCATTTGGATGTATGGTTCTTGATGGTTGAATAGATATTGGATGTGCAAGTGATAAGTTTAGAAAATTTTGATTTGATTTGATGTAACTGTTGGCTGATGGTCAATGAACATTGGAATCAATCTATTTTTTTAGGATCTAATGTATTCATAGAACCGCAAATACTCATAATACAAAAATTTGATAGATTGCCCATGCCCATCTTGTGAAGGCATTTTCTTAGTTTGTTAGTGCTTTAAGATACAATTGAGTGGCGAAGTAAAGATGCTGCTGGACTCCTCATCTATCCAATGATGTTGCACGTTGATCTTGGTGCTTGAGCTGAATGTTACCGAACTTCGATGTGTGTTAATGATACTTAATTATGAATTTTTTGTTAAGTGATTTATGACTGGACTAATCTTATGTTTGTTTTCTTGTATTTCACTTTGGTTGGATATTCTTTAGTCAGCAACAAGTTTCCTCTTTGGAAAAGCTGAAGAACCACTATGTTTCCATGTTTGACGAAGCAGTTCTTGTGTTTGCTAGTTTGTATGAGCATGCACCCAAGGAAAAACCTTGGATTTACTTATTAGAGCCCTCCTAGTTTTTCGACCAACCTCCTTCTCAACTAAGCAGCTGTTACAAACTGGATAGGAAATGTCCCTTCGAGTAAATTATGTGTTAATTTATTTCATTTTGGTTCTTATCTTATTGTATCTGCTAGTCATTCAAAGATGGCCTTGTACTTGCTTGGTTCAATCAATCAATGTCTCTGTAAGATAACAAAGGTTTTTGGTATCATCCTTGTTATGTTTGATATCATAACTTCTATTATTATAATGTTTCAACTAATATAAAGTTGTAGCATTCTCATATTTACCATGATTGGTCTCTGAATTGAATGAGCTGTTGCTTGATAGTTGCTGAATTTTTCCCAACCACAAGAAGTTGCAAAACCACACACATAAGAAGCACATAAGTAGTAGCAAAGCTGTAAATTTAATTTTTATTCTACAAACTATATTAGGATCTTAGCAATTTGTTAGACCGGTCTAGCCGGTCCACGCGGGACCTGGAACATCTCCGCCTCTTTCGTCAGCCGCACGCACGCGATGTCTGAGAGCTCATTTTAGGAAGGTTTTTGAATGGATTCTAGGAGGGAAATTGAATGTAGGGATTGTTTAGGGATTTCCTTTTGATTTGTATGCATTAAATACTTTGTTTTCCTAGGGTTGGTCATCTTGAATTTGGCTGAAATTTGAGATCTCTTAGATTTGGGTTTTCTTTGGGCTCTAGCGGCATCTAGAGATTTGGGAGAGATCGATCATCCTCTCGAATTGAGGATCAATTGTATCTTGCTATTTTATTCATCGTCTAGTGGAATACAAGCTTTCCTTTGAGTTTTCTCTCAGAATTTTTCTGGATTGGTGCTGTCTTTCTACTGTAAACAGCAGATTTCTGCTGTTTTTTGTTCTGGATAGCAGTATCTTTGTTGTTTGATCTCTGATTTGGGTTAGTGTTACTTGCAAACTCAAGTATTACCTTAGGGTTACTTGCGAACTCAAGTATTTCCTATCAAACTGGTATCAAAGCATCGTTTTTGGTACCGTTGGCGGCTGACATCCTGAAATTTCAGCGGGATTTTCATTTCCGGAAAAAAAAAGATCTTTGTGATTCTTGGGAAGAATGATGACCGGGATGAAGTTAGAAGTCTTGGAAGGCAAAATCGGACAATTGAAATCCGATTTAGAGCGAAGATTTTTCGATTTTCAAAATTAAATCACCTCCAACAATGAAAGGTTGGAGGGGAAGTTCACCTTGATAGAAAAAATGATGAAGAAATTACTTGAAATGAAGATCAATCCGGTGACATCGGAAGTATGAGAGACCACCGACAACCATGGAATGGGAGGAAATCCGAACCCGTTACGGGGGTGGAGGAATTCGGAGGTGGAAATCATGGAGGAGGAGAATGACATGCCCCCTCTAGAATCGCTTTCTAGAAAAGAGATGAGTAGGGGATACGACTAACGGGAGGTTGATTTTGTCGGAAGGAGGATGAATTCAATCGTCGAGGTGCTGAATTTGAAAGAATCCTGCGTTGAGGTGCTGATTTTGAAGGGGGGAGGGAAGAATTTCATCGCTGAGGTGCTGAATACGAAAGAATTCAGCGTCGAGGGGCTATTTTTGAAGGAAGAAGGGAGGAACGTCATCGTCGAGGTGTTGAGTTTGAAGGAATTTAGCATCGAGGTGATGATTTTGAAGGGAGAAGAGGAGAGTATGAAGAGGGATGCAAGTATAATCGTCGGAGGGGATGATCGGGACACTTGCAGAACTCTTCCCCTGAGAGGAATGGGAGGTTATGGAGGATACCGGGGAAACGGAGGAGATCCAAAGGTGAGGAAGCTGAAGATGCTCATTTTTTAGGGTGAGGATGGCCATGGGTGGATTTATAAGGTGGAGCGATATTTTGCTGTCAATGGGCTGACGGAGGAGGAGAAATTGACAGCAGAGGGAAAAGCCTTAGCCTGGTATCAGTGGCGTGACAGACGGGAGCCTATCCGAAGCTAGCGGGAGTTCAAAGAATACTTATTAGAGCATTTCCGAGCAGATGAGGGAGGAGACTTCTATGAGCAATTCTTTGCCCTTACCCAGGAAGGCACGGTGACAGATTACCAGGATAGCTTTGAGTATCTGGCTAGTAGGCTGGATCATATCTCGGAGTCAGCCCTGGAAGGGCATTTCATGAAGGGGCTGAAAACGGAGATAAGAACAACAGTCAGAGTGTTGGAGCCAAAGAATCTAGGCAAGGCCATGGAATTGGCCCAGTTGGTGGAAGACTATAAGAAGTCTGAAAGAGGGGCTCGAGGAAACTGCTCAGGAGGCTCTTACAGGACGATGACCACTCTTCTAGCACCCAAGGGGCCTGCATCAGGCAACATTAATGAGACCACCTGGGAGAAGCCAGTAGGAGGAGGGAGTGGGAAAAATTTCAAGAGGCTGACAGAGAAGGAGATGCAGGAGAAGAGGGTAAAGGGGTTGTGCTTCAGATATGATGAGAAGTACATGCCGGGGCATAAGTGCAAGGACCGAACTCTTCAGGTTCTCATTGTTTGTGAAGACAAGCAAGGTTTAAAATTGCATAATTAAGCCTCGAGGCGGTTTTTGTCTGTGAGGCGAGGCGTAAACCTCGAGAGGCGGTCTGAGTCATAAGCCTCATGGACACAGAATTGCATAAATGAAAAATTAAGGGTTTTAGCAGAAAAATAATAGCAATATTGTACCTTACAATAAAAACATCTAAATGATATATGAAAATAGTGGAAAATAAGAAAATAGATGCAATAAAATCATGTCCCAAAGTACAAAATCACGAAATATTAGTTCAACAAAACTCTAGTACCGACCGCAGGCATCATTTGTGCTTGTCCTCTATCCTCTTCTGGATTAGTCATATACTGATTCATAGGACGTCGTGCACCTCTGTTATGTATAGTGGAGGAAGATCCCTTTCCACTCTCGCTCCCAAAATAAGCGTCATGTTCGACCCTATCATCAAATTGCTCCTGTTGCAAGTGTTTACCGTGGTACTTTCTTTTCATATAAGCACTAATTTCCTCCTTCACCTTTTCCAGTCACATTGCAAGGGTGCTACATTTTTGTGCGAGTAATGAAGATGTTCCTTATGCGGGTAACACCTCCCTTCACCACTTTATCGCAAAATTACATTTCAAATAAACATAGCTCTTCTCTCCGCCGGCAATGTCAACATTGTAACTATTTTTTCCCAAGAAGGGTCCCTCCGCATGGACGGAAGACCCCTTTTCCTTGCCTCTTACCAATGATCCCCTAATGAAAGAAATCGAAAATCACAACAAACAATTTCAAAAAATCTTAAAACCTAGAATTTCTTTCACTTCAAAAAATCTAACCAAAAGTCAAAAAAAAAAACCTAAAATCGTCTGTGGACTTCTCCTACAAGGCGCGGAAACTTCAACTTCGCCGAGAGAGGAGGCGCCGCGGGAGAGGCCGGCGGGAAGGATGGCCGACCGTGCGGGATGCCTTCGATTTCGCGAACAGAGAGCTGAAGCAATTTTTTTCGGGGGTTGGGGTGTGGCGAGGGCCAGAGAAACAGCTCCGGGGCTTTATATATATCAACCTCCCCACATTATTTTTTCCATTTGTTCACATTTTCCCATTCCATTTTCTTTTTTGTTTTTTTTTTTTTTTCATTTTTTTTTTTTTATTTTTTTTATTATATTCTTTATTTTTTTTTTTTATATCTCCTATTTTTTATTTTTTTTTTTATTTTTTATTTTTTGTTTTTTTTACTTTTTTTTTTCCCCCCCAGAAAACTTAAATTCTTCT